GCACCACCAAGGCTCTTTCATCCAAGTCATAGTTGTCCCAAAGGTGCTTTTTTTTCAGGAGGCAACTGGACTTTCTTGTTTTTTCTTTTGAAGATGTTTTGCTTCTCATCCAAGAAGCTTCTTCAGCTCTGACAGGATAGTGGGGAAGGGAAGGATTTATATTCCATGCAGACAGCTGGTCATTTGCATCCTTTTAGAGGGTCGTTGAAGCACTTGGAGGTTTATCTGTCCTCAGGCTCACTTGAGTGGTGCTCCTGGTTCCTGTAGTCTGCATTTTTTTCTTTGAATAGAATTTTTTTAAAAAAAAATCCTTTGGAAATCCATTCCTCTCCCACACCATTCAAAGGGTGCTCATCCCAAATTGTATAGCTAAAAAATCCTTCAAGGAATATAAATCCTTCCATTCAAAAGAAAAAAACAAGAAAGTCTCCTGAAGTTGCCTCCTGAAAAAGACCTTTGGAACCTATCACAGGAAGTTCTCGACTTACAACAGTTCATTTAGTGACCATTCAAAGTTACAAAGGCACTGAAAAAAGGGACTTATGGCCATTTTTCATGCTTACAACCTTTTTAGCAGCCCCATGATCACGTGATCAAAATTCAGATGCTTGGCAACGAGTTCATACTTATGACCATTGCTGTGTCCCAAGGTCATGTGATCACATTTTGCAACCTTTTGACAAGCAAAGCCAATGGGGAAGCGAGATTCACTTAACAACCGTGTTACTAATTTATCAACTGCAGTGATTCGCTTAACAACTCTTAAGTTGATAAAATGGGGCAAAACTCACTTAACAAATGTCTCACTTAAAAGCAGAAATTTTGGGCTCAATTGTGGTCGTAAAATTGAGGACTACCTGTATTCCCAGTTTCAAATTTTATTAGTTTATCAAATATAAAATGCAAAGTAAAATAAAAATAATGGGAAAATAGGAAAGAAAAAAGGGAAGAGGAGAAAGTGATGGGTAAAAGGTAAAAAAAAAAGAAAGAAAAGCATTGATTTCAACTCTTTTTAGCACAGTAGCATAAAGTAATATCATATAGTCTCAATTTTTTACTTTTACATAGTAATATTTACTAATGATTTCTATAACCAAAAACTTATCTAATCAGCAGAACCCAAAATCAAAGTTTCATTTTTCCCCCCACCTCAAACACAAAGTCCAGAAACAATTTCCAAGTAGAGACAAAGTTAGTTGTATTCTTTTCTTTTAATTAGAGCCGTCTGTTTAGCCATCTTTGCTACCTCCATCAGCTGCCAATCATCCATTGTCAGAATTTAGGTATCTTTCCATAATTGTTACTCCCATAGTTGATAGGTTGTGCAGCAATTTCTGGTCCTTAACATCTTGTAGAATTGATTCTGCCCTGGGTTCAAGAAGAATCTTTAGTTTGTTCCAGGAAGAACAAAGATGAAACAATCCAATTTCAGAACCCCATGCCAATCCCAAAAGTTGTTCTTTTCACTTGTGGGAAATTTTGGATTTTTCCACCTGAAAATGCGGTGGGAAAATGCGTCAGACCCACATAGCAATCCGGTTACACTATCAGCCTACTTCCAAAGAACTGGAGCGGAGAATGACTGAAAGCAGTTGTTTTTTTTAATGTGAGCCACTAATCATCTTGTTAAGCTACCCACAAAGTTATTATAACTCTATAGCCAACATAATGTGCAGAAATATATTTGGATTTGCATCTGGACCTAGTTCTGTCAGAGTTCTCTTCCCAGGAATTGGCCAAGGTGCTCATATGTCATGGAACATTCATACATATTATAACTGCTGACAAGGTTCAGTGACAACATGTTGTGAATCATTCATTCAGCAGCCGAAAGGGAAGTGTGAAGTCAGTTTTTCTGAATTAAAAAAAAAAAAAAAATACAGAAACTCCGAGCGTGGTTACAGAGATGAGAGCCGGCTTTCACCATGATTCAGAATGACCAACCCCATCCTTGGCTGCAGATCCCTACTTATAGATACATGTGGAAGAACTAATGGCATTGAGTTCATTGGCAGCCCTTGGCGCATGCTCCCAAGCGCGATGTGCCTTTTGCAAAAGCCACAGATCGGAAGTCACTGTATGTCATGGAAAATTGGGGTTAGTTTATCCTTCCTGAGAGCCCCCAGGGGAGTTCGCTCTCTGTCTGATGCTTGAATAACCCTAGTTTGTTGACTCAAAAGGCCTGGCTAGGAAGTATTTTGGGGAAATAAAATAAAAGGTAGAGAGAGATGACTAATTGCCCTAGATCAGTGATGGCTAACCTTTTTCCCATCGCGTGCCAAAAGCAGGATGGGAGTGTGGGGGGTTTGTGTATGCGCGTGCCCACACCCATAATTCAATGCTCCCCCATGCCACGCCCTCCCCACGCATGCGCGCCTGAACCCTCCCTCACACTCCCACCTTTTTGGCACGTTTGTTTGTTTGTTTTATTAGATTTATATACCGCCCTACTCCCGAAGGACTCAGGGCGGTGAACAGGCACAAAATAAAATACATAGATACAAAAGTTAAAAGACATAATTAAAACCAGATTAAATAATTTAGCCCGAGACAATCCCAATAATTTAAAACAGATTAAAATTTCGATTTAAAAGAATTTTAAAACAGGGGAGAAAATTAGGCCAGGCCGGCTTGCTGGAATAGGAGAGTCTTAAGAGCACGGCGGAAAGTGCACAGATCCGGGATCCTCCGTATCTCTGGGGGGAGCTCGTTCCAGATAGTGGGTGCCCCCACAGAGAAGGCCCTCCCCCTGGGGGCCACCAGTCGACATTGTTTAGCTGACGGCACCCGGAGGAGCCCCTCTCTATGAGAGCGTACTGGCCGGTGGGAGGCTGCTTGTGGTAGTAGGCGGTCCCGTAAATAACCAGGTCCTAAGCCACATCCTAAGGCACGTGATGGCATAGTGGGCCCGGTAGGCCTGTTTTTCACCCTCCCCAGGCTCCAGACGCTTTCTTGGAGCCTGGGGAGGGCGAAAACTGTCCCCCCCCCGGAGGCCCTCCAGAGGCAGGAAACAGCCTGTTTCCTGACTTCCGGTGGGCCTGGAAGGCCCGAAAATCAGCTGGCCAGTGTGCGCATGTGTGCTGGAGCTGAGCTAGAGCAACACACGTGTGCCCACAGATATGGTGCCATAAGTTCGCCATCACGGCCCTAGGTCAAAGGTTCATGGAGGGAAGGGAAGGGAGGGGAGGGGAGGGGAGGGAGGAAGGAAGGAAGGAAGGAAGGAAGGAAGGAAGGAAGGAAGGAAGGAAGGAAGGAAGGAAGGAAGGAAAAGAAATGGACTGGTGGAGTAATTTAAATTCATGGAGGACCAAGTTTGTCCAGGTTAGGGGCTCCAACGGTGATTGTGTGCTTAGTTATCTGATTTTAAAATAATTGATGGGGCTGTTTATAAACCTTCCACTGAATGTCCAGAATGAGCCAGTCGGGGGCCAAGAAAAGGAGTAATGAAGCTATTTTATATGCTTATATATTTTTTTAAAAGGGATTATGACAAATAATTGTGTGTTTATTTGATTATGATTCTGTCCTTTGAATTTGCTGCTTGATATTATCAATCTCCTTTAAAAAAAAAAAAAACTTTTATAGTTTGGATTGTCAGTTGCATGGAAAACCAGTGATCAGAATTTACAATATTTCAAAATTTTTGTTTGCTTGTCTGTTTGGTTTGTTTTATAATTCACTATGCAATTTTATTAATGTTTACCAGGAAGTCAATCAAATAGGACTTAATTCCAGATAAAGCAAATAGAATGGCCATAATTCCAAACCAGCATGATTAATGAGAGAGTTATGAACTCTGTAGCCCAAAATATTTGGAATGTGTCAAGTTAACTACTCTTTAAATCCAAAGTTGGCCACCTGATATTTGTTGGCACCACATTTAAGGGATGAGAAGAGCTGGGATGAAGTGGGTGCAGACATTCTACCTTCATAAGGAGCCCCAGCATTTCTCATGTTTTAAAGATTTTGGGTAGCCCTTCATTTATCTAGACATTGGTTCCAAAATCACCTAGTGAATTCTTTGGGCATACTTGAGAATTTGCAAATGCAAGAAACTGGACAGAGTAATGAACAGAATGATGGATATGATGGACCTAAAATTTGATCTGGCAGGGCTAGATTAGACTTTAGGCCTATCTTATCCAGTAGTCCTCGACTAATGACCACAATTGAGCCCAAAATTTCTGTTGCAAGCGAGACATGTGTTGAGTTTTGCTTCATTTTACGACTGTTCTTGCCACAGTTGTTAAGTGAATCACTGCAGTTGTTAAGTTGGTAACAGAATTGTTAATTGAATCTGGCTTCCCCATTGACTTTGCTTGTCTGAAGGTCTCAAAAGCTGATCACATGACCCCGGGACACTGCAACCGTCATAAATACGAGTCAGTGTTGCCGAGCATCTGAATTTTGATCACATGACCCTGGGGATGCTGCAAGGGTCGTAAATGTGAAAAACGGTCATAAGTCCCTTTTTTCAATGTTGTTGTAACTTTGAACGGGCACTAAATGAACTGTTGTAAGTCAAGGACTACCTATATTTCTAGAAGTAGTCCTCGACTTACCACTCTCTGTTGAGCGACCATTCGAAGTTACAATGGCACTAATACGAGTTAAAACTGGGATTTGGACTTACAACCATCACACCATCCCAATGGTCATTAAACAAATTGTTGTAAGTCAAGGACTACCTGCATTGTTTCTCAGAAGGACTCACACAGATATTTTGTGAGGCAGGGTGTGCTGTGAGAATGGTGTCCAAGAGGCCTACTTCATGGCCACGTACAGGCCTCATCCAAGAAGCTTCTTCAGAATGGATTCAGCTCTGAGAAGAGCTGAAGAAGCTTCTTGGACGAGAAGTGAAACGTCTTCAAAGAAAAACCAGGAAGTCCAGTTGCCTCTCGAAAAAATACCTTTGGGGACAGCCATGACCTGGATGACCGAGAATCTCCATAAACATGCAGACGGACACCCCTGCTGACTCTCTTGGTTTGGCTTTGCAGGAAACAAAGGGCTCCTGGAGGAAACAAGCCACAGCAGCACTCAGAAAATCAACAAGGCACCACCAAGCACAACAAAGAACACCAGAAACCCTCACAAGGAGGCCAAGCGCCACACTCCTCGGGGCGATGTGGCCACCATGGCTACAGCCAGAACCGGCGGTGGCATCACAACCAGAAACACTCCCCCAATGACAAAGAGACGCACCGAAACGCCAAAGAGACCGAGACTCTGAAAATAGAAGATACCTCTGTCTGCACGGTGCACATCCCTCTGGAGATGCACCGCAACCACGACGCCACCGAGAGGCCATCGCCGCAGTACCTCCAGGATCCCGAAAGCAAGCGGAAGGACAACCTCCACGAACGGAAAAACGAGAGACCCAAAGTTAACTTGCTGCAGTCTTCCAAGGACAGACTACGCCGGAGGCTAAAAGAAAAGGTAGCTGCTTTTGTTTCTCAGTCACTTCTTTTTTTTTTTTTTAATACAACTTTATTAAATTTCAGAAAGAGTTAAAATGGACACTAAGCAGTGGTGGGTTTCAAATTTTTTTACTACCAGTTCTGTGGGTGTGGCTTGGTGGGTGTGGCAGGGGAAGGATACTGTAAAATCTCCATTCCCTACCCAATCCAGGGAAGGTTACTGCAAAATCCCTATTTCCTCCCAATCAGCTGGGACTCGGGAGGCAGAGAATAGATGCGGGTGGGGCCAGTCAGAATTTTTACTACCGGTTCTCTGAACTACTCAAAATGTCTGCTACCGGTTCTCCAGAACTGGTCAGAACCTGCTGAAACCCACCTCTGACACTAACTACTAAAAACAGGGGAAGGAGAAAATTCAAAAGGAGATAAAGTTAAAAAGTGGGAGGAGTGGGTGGGTAAGGAGAAAAGTAGGGAAAGGCATTCAACTTTTCTCAGTACAAATATATAATATCTAAATTAAGCCTAACATAACCGATAACTAACTTCAAATTTAGAAACCTCTACAATATTTCTATAGTCTTCAACAAATCCAGCCATCCAATCATTAATTCAGAAATACCTAGTCATCACTATCAAAGCCAATTTGGTCCAGTGGTTGAGGCACCAGGCTAGAAAGTGGGAGACTGTGAGTTCTAATCCTACTTTAGGCATGAATCCCATTTGGGTGACTGTGGGCCAATCATTGGGAGATGATGAGTTCCAGTCCCGCCTTAGGCACAAAAGCTAGGTGGGTGACTTTGGACCAATCACCAGGAGACTCTCAGTTCTATCCCAACTTAGCCATGAAAGCTGGATGGGTAACTGGCCCAATCACTGGGAGAGTTTTAAGTTATAGTTCCTCCTTAGCCATGAAAACCAGCTGGGTGACTTTGATCCAATCCCTTTCTCTCAATCCAACTCACCTCACAGTGTTGTTGTGGGGATAATAGGAGGAAGGAGATATGTTCACTGGCTTGAACTACTTGTAAAAAGTAATAAAGGCAGGATATAAATAAAAACTAATAAACCAGATTGCAAAAATAATATCTAGTTTAAAAATCAACCTAAACAAAATCTTAAAACAAGCATAGTAATCCATTTCCACATCTCTGTTAATTCATTTTTTCACAATCCACTTTTTTGTTACTAGTTTTTACATTTATTTCATCTGCATATATTATATTTCCCCGTTAATATGGCCCTAAAAAAAGAAAGAAAAAAAATCCCATATTTCCTCCATTCTATTGATCCATCATAACGGGGGGGGGGGGGGGAACCCAATCTGAAAACACACATCCATCTTGTTTTCCTCACTCACTTGAGCCACCAAAGCATCAGACATTTGCAAGTTTCTTGTGTTAGGGAGCTGCGCTAACCTTGTTTCTGAGGATTTGTGACCATGATGTCACTGGAATAAGCGGAATCAAAATGTTCAGACCAGAGGTGGGTTCTACTTACTTTTACTACCGGTTCTCATGCGCAGAAACTTCCTAATAACGTCCAGGTCGGTGGATGGAGCTTCCGGCTGGTTTTACTACCAGTTCTTGCAAACCAGTCTGAAACGGGGGCAACCCACCACTGGTTCAGACAAGACTTAAGGCATCCATTTTGCCTTTAAATCCTCCCAAATGGGGAAAAAATAGAGGGGGTGGACTGACACAAATGAGTGCTTTAAACCTATACAATAAGTTCATTCTCTGGAGTCATCTGTGTATGATTCCCTCATATGAACACTTTTTTATTTCAAGCACAAGCTGCCTCTCTTATCTGTATTTAAATCCAGATGCATGAAATTAATCAGCAGAATTGAGATGCATTTGTTATGTTGAATATTGCTTATTTATTTATTAAACAAACTTATATAACTGCCCAACTCGCACACAGAAACATTGTGTACAACATTAAAAGTCAACAGTTAAAAATTCATAGTTTAACCGAACCACTGCCCACCCCATGGTGGCAACAGGAGAATCAAGCAAGCCACTTGATTGGCTCCAAATGGGGTCTCTGACCAAACAGTTTTTTCAAGAGTTTGCAGAAAGCAACAGGTTGGGGCCGATCTTATCGCTGGGGGAATGATTCTAAAGATAGGGAGCCACCACAGAAAAGGCCCTTTCTAGTGAGTTAGCTTTTCATGGCCTTATCATAAGGAAATCATGTTGTATTCCAGAAAGAAAAGTAGAATATAAATGAATACTAATATATTGTTATTGCTATTGTCAACTTTACATAAACTATTGCTCTTTAGCTTTATTTTGTCTTGAAAAAGTCATGTTTAATGTCCCTGTTTAATTTCTCTTCTGCTACAGCAAAACCAGCGCAATGTCCTGTAATACCATGTTCTGCCTCTAGGTGTCACTCTGTATTATTTGTTGCTTTTGCTTTCTATTGATCAGAGCTAATCTTAAATTTTGACCCAGATAATCTCACTTCCACATTCAAGAAAGTCCCACATTAAAACAGTGTCCTGGGTATGATTCATGGCAAACCAACCATAGCCCATTTATTTCTTGTGCCAATTTACCTGAAGCAAGCCAGCTAATTAAAATTAGAATGCAATTTTACCTCCAACATTGGAGGGGACTTTAATTATTTATCACACCATGGAATGAGTAATTCAATGAAAATAAATTTCATCATGTAAAATGATGAGCAAATTTCTTCAATGGGCATGGCTTCAGTATTACAGACGTCAGTATTTCTTTAGGATTATTCATTCCTTTAATTGCTGCCTGCCATATGGGCCTTAAAAGTGCAGAGTTTCTGCTCAAAAAACAGAATATTTTTTACACTCCAAGGTCTGTGAAAAAATTTTAGGGGATGTGGTTATCTCCATTTCCAGAGCACAGAATTTGAAGAAACAGGACAGTACTTTTTACAGAAGACCTTGGATATTGGAATTCGTTGGTTAAAAAAATACAGGTAGTTTTCAACCTACGACCACAGTTGAGCCCAAAATTCCTTTTGCTAAGCCAGACATTTATTAAGTGAATTTTGTCCCATTTTACGACCTTTTTTGACACATTTGTTAAGTGAATCACTGCAGTTGTTAAGTTAGTAACGTTGTTAATTGTATCTGGCTTCCCCATTGACTTTGCTTGTGGGAAGGTCGCAAAAGTTGATCCCATGATCCCGGGACACTGCAACCGTCATAAATATGAGTCAGTAGCCAAGCATCTAAATTTTGATCACATGTCCATGGGGATGCTGCAAGGGTCGTAAACGTGAAAAACAGTCATAAACCACTTTTTCCAGTGCCATTGTAACTTAGAATGGTCTAAAATGAACTGTTGTAAATTGAGGATTACCTGTAAGTCAATTGAAAAATTTGAAAGGTACCAGTTAGATCAGAGTTTCTCAACCTTGGTAGCTTGAAGATGGGTGGACTTCAACTCCCAGAATCCCCCAGCCAGCAGCGCTGGCTGGGAGATTCTGGGAGTTGAAGTGCACCCATCTTCAAGCTACCAAGGTTGAGAAACATTGATGTACAGCAAGGATGTCCAACCTTGGTAACTTTAAGACCTTTGGACTTCAACTCCCAGAATTCCCCAGCCAGCATACAGTATATCATTTTTAAAGACTGACTTTGAATAGGAGAGCTTGAACTGTCCATTTTGTCTATATCTGAGGGCGAATGTGCATTTTACAAAAGCTACTAGTTATCCTCTTCTTCAATTTCCTTTCACCTTTCTCCAGAGAGCAAGATCTTCATGCAATATGTCTGAAGGATATTTGCTTAGCAAAATGGGCAGCATATACCTTTAATAAAAAAATAAATAAATAAATATGGTCATTTTTGCCTCAAGTCATTTGACTTAGTGGACTAGGTATATCTTCTCTAAAATGATCTGACCCCTGCCTGGGTGTTTTAGGTCTTCCAATGGCATACCCATCACCACTGCTGCTCATCTTTTCTTTCTTTCCATTCCTCCCAGCTTCTTCTTCTCCGGAGGACTAATTCTTCAGATAAGGGTCTGAACTAGGACAGTTAGACCTCTGTGTTGATTTGATGATCTGCCAGTTTGTTTTCTTGACTGTCCATGTATTCTCTTCTCGAATGCCAAAATTCAAAAGTATCAATTCTCTTTTTATCCTACTTCTTCAAAGTCCAGCTTTAGCTTTCATGAAATGGGGTGGGGTGAAGTGGAGTGGAGTGGAGTGGAGTGGAATAAAATGGAATGGAGTAGAGTAGAGTAGAGTAGAGTAGAGTAGAGTAGAGTAGAGTAGATAAAAACAGCAGGGAGAAAGGGAAGGGGCGGTGGCATCTCTGTTTGTTGACATGATGCGTTTCATGGTTACAGGGAACCGTTATAATTTTTATAGACACTGCCGTCCTTCTCCTTCTCACTGCCTATTTTAAATGATCGCTTTAGCAAACACTCAGTTTCTCGAAGTGCGATTCTTCTCTGTTCTGCATATGGGGAGAGGGGGACTGGTTTTTTTGGGGGGGGGAAATGGTTGAAAGGCTGCCTCTGTTGATCTACAGAGGGATGGAGGTTTTTTTCCCCCCCTTTTTTGCTTTGAACATTGGCTTGTGCTCAAAAGAGCTGGTTTTATATAGGGGTTTTCATCCCATTTGAGTAAATATGTGTGACTCCTAAGGCCCAATGAGGTGAAAGAGCTAGCAGGGGAAGGAAAAACCTCAAGCAGGGGCCAGGGACAGGAGGAATTGCAAAAGGGTTGGTGGGAAGGAAAATTGAAGTTTGGAGAACTGAATTTATTGTGCTGGCTTGAAATCACCAGCTAGCTTTTGGCTGCGAGTCTCCAGTTTTGTATGTATTGTGTGTGATCAGTGGAGTTTCTCTTACGCCCTCTTTTTTTAGTGGATCATGTATAGCAGTGTTTCTCAACCTTGGTAGCTTGAAGATGGGTGGACTTCAACTCCCAGAATCCCCCAGCCAGCAGCGCTGGCTGGGAGATTCTGGGAGTTGAAGTGCACCCATCTTCAAGCTACCAAGGTTGAGAAACATTGATGTACAGCAAGGATGTCCAACCTTGGTAACTTTAAGACCTTTGGACTTCAACTCCCAGAATTCCCCAGCCAGCATACAGTATATCATTTTTAAAGACTGACTTTGAATAGGAGAGCTTGAACTGTCCATTTTGTCTATATCTGAGGGCGAATGTGCATTTTACAAAAGCTACTAGTTATCCTCTTCTTCAATTTCCTTTCACCTTTCTCCAGAGAGCAAGATCTTCATGCAATATGTCTGAAGGATATTTGCTTAGCAAAATGGGCAGCATATACCTTTAATAAAAAATAAATAAATAAATATGGTCATTTTTGCCTCAAGTCATTTGACTTAGTGGACTAGGTATATCTTCTCTAAAATGATCTGACCCCTGCCTGGGTGTTTTAGGTCTTCCAATGGCATACCCATCACCACTGCTGCTCATCTTTTCTTTCTTTCCATTCCTCCCAGCTTCTTCTTCTCCGGAGGACTAATTCTTCAGATAAGGGTCTGAACTAGGACAGTTAGACCTCTGTGTTGATTTGATGATCTGCCAGTTTGTTTTCTTGACTGTCCATGTATTCTCTTCTCGAATGCCAAAATTCAAAAGTATCAATTCTCTTTTTATCCTACTTCTTCAAAGTCCAGCTTTAGCTTTCATGAAATGGGGTGGGGTGAAGTGGAGTGGAGTGGAGTGGAGTGGAATAAAATGGAATGGAGTAGAGTAGAGTAGAGTAGAGTAGAGTAGAGTAGAGTAGAGTAGAGTAGAGTAGAGTAGAGTAGAGTAGAAGAATAGAATAGAATAGAATAGAATAGAATAGAATAGAATAGAATAGAATAGAATAGAATAGAATAGAATAGAATAGAATACTTTATTGGGCCAAATGTGATTAGACACACAATGAATTTGTCTCCGGTGCAGGAGCTCTCAATTTACATGCAAAGCAACAGAGTAATAATAATCATAATAACGATACCAATAAGAGGGGGTAATAGAGAAGATGACAAGGATAATAATAAAACTACAGCCATACAATTTGAATAAACAGACAAAAGATAATACTGTGAGGATTAGGTGTTCAGCAGAGTGATGGCATGAGGGCAGTGGTGGGTTCTAATCTGTTTTACCACCGGTTCGCATCGCGCCAGGCGCTTTGCGCGCGATCGCCTGGCTTCAGGAATTCTGGGAGTTGAAGTCCACAAGTCGTAAAGGGGCCATCCTGGCAAAAGATGCTTAGAAAACCCCAGGTTATTTTGTGGTCTGTTGAGAGCTGGATTAATTTTCCCTGTCACCTGCTACCCAGTCACGTAGGAGCTGCTTGGAACTCAGGAGCTTTGTGCCATCTGGACAGAAAAACAGTCCTTGTAGCTTAGCTCTCCCCCCTCCCTCCTTTTGTTGCCTGCCCCCTTGCTGACCTGGAGCTGTGAAAGCAACCCCCCCCAGCTGCCCACCCGCCCGCCAGCCGAAAGTCTGTTGAAGAATGAGAGACATCTCGCACGAGCTTTAGGCGATAGACGTCCTCAGTGACTCTTTCTCTCTCTCAAAAAACCCACCACCCACGAATAATCTGTTGTCGCTGTCAAAGGGGAAGGGGGCTGTTGGGAGGGGAGGATCTGCTGCTTCTTGTAGATTGGATGAATCCTGGGATTAGCTCTGGCTGTTTGTGTGTGTGTTGGGTTTTCTTTTCTTTTTCTTTTTTTTTTTTTTATTTAAAAACAAACTTTATTCAATATAAAAAGATAAAAGTTATACAAAAAGTTCTTAACTCTAAAAATACGTTCAAAACTATTTATAAACAAACTAACAAACAGGATTACCTATCTATAATATATAAGTATACAAATATATACATTAACCTTTGCTTCTTTTATCTTAATGACGGTGTATATTTGTTACCTTTGATTTCCTACTATATTTGACATTACCTTTTTTTCCATTGATTAATCCAATCATACCATCTGTCCCATATTTTGAAATACTGTGAGTCTTCCTTATCATTTAATTTTAAAGTTAGTCTATCCATTTCTGCGGTGTGTTGGGTTTTCTACATTACTGAACAGATGGCTGCAGAAACATTACAGAAGAGACCCCATAGAGTGCAGAAGGGAGTAAGACTACACAATTTTGTCATAGCATCCCATCTTTCCCACCTGGCGGATAAACAGATTCTGGAGCAGATTCCTGTTCTCCCAGCTTGATGTATATTTGGGTCTTTTTTTTATGGCTGGGTTAAATAGACCAAATTGTATTTTGCTTCCAAACTGGGAGTAGCTTATTTTGCTCTGTTCTATACCCATGCAAGGGGGATGCAGTGGCTCAGTGGCTAAGACGCTGAGCTTATTGATCGAAAGGTCAGCAGTTCAGCGGTTCGAATCCCTAG